CCCAGAAGATTTGCAGAATTTGACATGCTGCAAGACACTGAAGTAGACTCTGAAGGAGAAGTTATTCAGTGTGCCATGTTAGTAGACTCTGAACCTATAAGTACAGAGGAGGCTCTTAAGCAGAAGCTCTGGCTGAAGGCCATGAAAGAAGAACTTGATGCTATAGAGAGAAACAAGACTTGGAAGCTGACAGAACTTCCAAAAGACAAGAAAGCCATCAGCGTCAGATGGGTTTTCAAGCAGAAGTTAAAGTCAGATGGCTCAATTGGCAAACATAAAGCAAGGTTGGTAGCCAGAGGATTTCTACAGAAACCTGGGCTGGATTATTCTGAAGTGTTTGCACCTGTAGCAAGACATGAAACAATCAGAATGGTGATTGCAATAGCTGCTAACAGGAATTGGCCTCTGATGCATTTAGATGTAAAATCTGCATTTCTGAATGGTCCATTAGAAGAAGAAGTTTACGTGTCACAACCTCCTGGATTTGTGAAAAAGAATCAGGAAGGGATGGTGTACAGATTATACAAAGCTCTATATGGATTGAAACAAGCGCCCAGAGCTTGGAATCAGAAGATTGATTCATTTTTCAAGAAGCAAGGCTTTCAGAAATGTGAGATGGAGTACGGTGTCTATGTTCAGCATACTTCTAAAGGCAATATGACTCTGGTATGTTTATATGTTGATGATATACTATTGACTGGAAGTTCTGAACAGGAGATAGCCAAGTTCAAGAAGGTTCTAATGAATGAATTTGAAATGACTGATCTAGGCAAAATGACATACTTTCTAGGGATGGAGTTCAGATATTCTGAGAAAGGTATAATTTTGCATCAGCTCAAGTATGAATTAGAACTTCTGAAGAGATTTGATCTGAAGAATTGTAAGATGGTTGTCACACCTTCTGATACAAATCAGAAACTGGATTCAGACTCTGAAGGAAAGGATGTAGATGCTACAACCTTCAAACAGTTGGTTGGTTCTCTGAGGTATCTGTGCAATACCAGACCTGATATTTGTTACTCAGTTGGGATGGTTAGTAGGTTCATGAGTAAACCTAAGTGGTCCCATTACCAAGCTGCTGTCAGGATTCTGAGGTATATCAAAGGAACTCTGAAGTATGGAGGGTTATTTCCCTCTGGAGGAAATAATGAGTCAGAACTTCTGAGTTATTCAGACTCTGATTGGTGTGGAGACAGAGTTGACAGAAGAAGTACATCTGGGTACTTGTTCAAATTTCTGGGAGGTCCCATTTCTTGGTGTTCCAAGAAGCAACCTGTTGTGGCGTTGTCAACCTGTGAAGCTGAGTACATTGCAGGTGCTGTTACTGCATGCCAAGCTGTGTGGATTCTGAATCTGTTGCAGGATCTGAAGATTAAGGTAGACAAACCTCTGAAGTTGATGATTGACAACAAGTATGCAATCAACCTTGCCAGAAACCCAGTGCTGCATGGGAGAAGCAAGCATATTGAGACCAAGTATCATTTTCTGAGACATCAAGTTCAGAGTGGAGTGTTAGAAGTTGTACACTGCAGCACTCAGAAGCAGTTGGCAGATGTTCTGACGAAAGCTATCAAGACTGATCAATTTCTCAGATTAAGGGATGGAATTGGTGTTACAAGTTTTGGTGGGAATATGAATTAAGGGATGGTATTAGTAATAATTCATATTTTATTATATTATTTTCTTAAGCCCATAAGTTTGTTAGAGGGTATTTCAGTATTTTATCTTATTCTAGTAACCCTAGTTTTAGCCTATAAATAGGGTGACAATCATTGTAACTCTTAATCCTGTTTCTTCTGCCGTCATTCTCTTTAATAGAATATTTCCCTATTTTCATCATTTATTCTATCTTTGCACCAACAGTTTTGTCCGAATTAAAAACTATCAAATTCAAACATCATAGTTTGATTCGAATTTTTCCATTCTAACATAAATGAAAGGTAAATTACTTATGTGATATCAATTAAACATAAATAACTTATTTTAATTTTTATAAATAATATTAAACATCAGAAGAAGTGTGATGCTATATTATTCATAAGAAGAAATTGTTCAAAAAAATTATTTTTTCTTCTTTCTCACTATTTTTTCTTATGTTTTGTTTTTTATTATGTTCGTTCATTTAAAATTTTATCTCATATATTTTCATTTTTTTTATTGATTTAATCGTCAATAACATTACTAAAATAATAGTAAAAATCATTTTAAAAAGAACAAATGTTGCAAAATCTTATTTGTACAAGTAAAATGGATAATTTATCCATGTTTTTGATAAGGTAACTTAGGTCTCACCAATAAATAATATGGTATGTATTTAAATATATTTAGTTATTTCAAATATTAATGTAAGTTTTTTACAAATAAAAAATAAAATAAACAAAATAAAAGGGTTGCAGACATAAACTACAACAACATATAAGTAATACACCAAAAAAATCGGAAAAAGAAACACAACAATGTAAAAGCAAAAAAACAACACAATGTAAAGCTAATAAGTTTAAGGCTTAATATCCTTTTTGGTCCCATACTTATACCTTTGGGTCCATTTTGGTCCTCTTTCTTTTAAAACGTCCAAATTGGTCCCTTACGTTATTAAAAGGGAACCACATTTGTCCTTTCTGTTAGAAATGTTAGTGACGTGGTAAGATATTGCGTATGTGGCATCAAAGCATAGTTTAGGTGGAATGATCACTAAAAATACTGCATAGGTGGCATTGTAACTCACATTATATTCCCATATAATTTTTTCATTCTAACAAATGCTGAAATAGGAACCCTAGCAGAGAAAGAAAAGAGAACGACGAGAGTACGACGAATCCATTGAAGAATACGATGGTGCATCGTCCTTTAAGAAGGTGGCAAGGTCATTTTGAACAATGTATTTATGTATTCACTGTGTGTTCATATTTTCGTTGTATTTCATTACCTGCACTGTATGTTCACAGTTGGACATGGTTTTTGGAACTCTTTATTGATAATCTAGGAGGTAGAGAAAAATGTAGAACCTATACATTCATTTCTGATCAGCAAAAGGTACCAACCTATTTTCTTCACATTCAGTTAAAGTATGACGTACCTAATAAATGTATTTAGTGACTATTATTTAGTTTAATTTTGCAGGGTCTTCTTCCTGCAATGGATGAATTACTATCCAATGTTGAACATAGATTTTATGTAAGACACTTATACAACAATTTTAGGAAGAAGTGTCCTGGAAAAATGTTGAAAGAGATCATTTGAAAGGCTTATCCACAAGCATGAGAAAGGGAGATGAGAGGAATGAAACAGTTACATGAAGAGGCTTACAAGCGCATGATACAAACTCCACCCATATTTTGGAGCAAATCCTTTTTCAGGACAACTTCAAAGTGTGATTATGTATTGAATAACATGTCAAAGGCATTCAATAGTGTGATTGTAGAGTCAAGAGCAAAGCCATTGGTGACCATGCTAGAAGAAATAAGGGGCTACAACATGGGAAAATTGGCAGCTAATAGGGTGAGATTCCCACATTTAAGTGATGGGGATGTTTTGCCAAACATTAAGGAGAAAGTGGAGAAACATGCAATTTCACAAACTACTGGATAGTAAGGTAAATTTTATGTTAATGCAATATGTGAGTTTCTGAATTTTTTGTGTTCATGTAATTTCTGAATTTCTTAACATTTTTGTAGGATGTCATCTGATCTCATCTTTGAAGTCAAACACATTGAGAGTCAAGGTGATATATATTATGTCAACTTAAAGGAGCATGAATGTTCATGCAGAAAGTGGCAACTAACAGCTCTCCCTTGCGTTCATGCAATTTCTGCAATGAAGAGTAGAAGTCTAAGGGTTGATGATTACATCCCAGACTTTATAAGAAGTCAAGGTATCAATCTGTTTATGAGTCTATCATTTATCTTGTTAATGAAACCAATTTATGGGTCAGAACAGAGTACCCAGATGTGTAGACAAACTGGACACAATAAATCAACTTTTAAGAGGACCAACCACCAACTCAAACAACTCAAGCAAGTGCCACACAAGCATCTTACCCACCAACTTAAACTACTCAAGAAACTGTAATACAAACATCTCAGCCACCAGCACAAATAACTCAAGCTATTGCAACACTAGCATCTCAGATAACTCATGCATCACAATAAGGAGAGAGGCCAAATAAGTTACATATTAGGAAACCAACTTAGTCAACTGCTACAAAGGGTGCAACACAAACATCTCAAACAACTCAGTCATCTCAGCAAGGTGGGAGGTCAAATAAGTTACCTGTTAGTAAGCATACTCAGACAACTGCTACAAAGGGTGCAACACAACCATCTCAAACAATTCATTCATCTCAGCAAGGTGGGAGGCCAAAAAAGTTACCTGTTACTAAGCCTACTCAGTCATCTGTTACAAAGGGTCCAACTACCAGACTTAATGCATCACAAAATGCGGTGGGACCTACAACTAGAAGGACCACTCCAACAAAAAGAAATAATCTAATGAAAGGCTTTTAACAATGTCTGGATTTGAATGAATTATATGTAATTTCTGTTTTGTGAACATGGTTGGTGTCATGTATGTTTTGAGAACATGTGTGTTATGAGACAAGGTTTATGCAAGGTTTATGTCATGTATGTTTTGAGACAAGATTTATGTTATGTATGTTTTGAGACAAGGTTTATGTCAAGTATCAAGTTTATGTAACAAGTGTCTGTTATTTTGAACAATGTTTAATGAAGTGGAGTTTCTCAACTTCAACATTTAATTACAATTCAGTTTTATCATTCAACATGCAATTCTAATTATGTTTTATCATTCAACATTCAACTAGTGCAACTAAATAATGTAACAAAATAATGTCAAAATATTCATATAACATTCATAAAATATTAAAGATTCAATAATGCAAGTTTGAACTGATATGATCAACTTTTACATAACACAATAATAAACACAACATAGAACATAACATTGACAACAATAAACGTCCAACTTTTACAACAACTTGAATACTAAAACAAATAACACAACATAGAACAAAAACTTCCAAAAAATTTCCACTTAATGGTGTTCTTTAAATCATCTTCTAGCTTCAGACTCTTGAGCCTGAACTCTTCAACTTCATTTTTGGCTTCCTCCATCTCTTGAGTTAGCTCTTCTATCTTACTTTGTTGCTTCATCATGATTTGTTCCTTTCCATCTCTTACTTCTTCATAGAACCATTCAAAGAATCCACAACCATCATTACTATATCTCTGATGAGATTAAGAAAGAATATTGCAATGTAGTAAATAGACATTTCAACAATATTTCAGCCAAGAGAGATTCGACTAAAGTTTACCTTAAAACGTTGACAACCCCAAAAAAGTTTTCCATAATTGTTGACAATTCTTGCCCTTCGAAGTACAACAATGTCTCCACAGCGACAAAAAGGCTTCCATGGAAGATTCGAGATGCTAAAGACATGCGAATCACTTCTGTTTTTCGATGATGATGATGATGATCTGCGCCCAGAACTCATTATTATTGCAAAAATTGACACGAATTAGTTTTCAATTTGGGGATTATGATGGACAATTCACGTTAGGTTTCAATTTGGGGGTAAACTGAAAGTGTGTTATGTGTTTCAGCATCAATGAAGAAGAAGATGTTGAGTGGACATTCCACATCAGCTGTCACGTCATGGAAACTAACGCTGTCTAGCACAATTTGATAGAAAGTACTAATTTGAATCTGTCTGACAACGTAAAAGACTAATTTAGACGTTTTAAAAGAAAGAGGACCAACATAGACCCCCGAGATATAAGTAAGAAACAAAAAAGGATATTAAGCCTAAATTTAAATTAATAAAGAAATATTTTCTCTAAAAAAATGTTTTTAGAGAAATACTAAACACAGACTCATACAAAATTTGTTCAGGCGCACACACTCATAAAAACATCTATTATTTAAATATTTCAAAATATATAATATTTAAATATTTTCTTTTTCTTAAACTTTTTATGTTGGTCCGTGTCTAAATGAATTTTAGTTACACTTATGACAAATCAAGTGTTTCTCCATGTTTTAACACAAACACACAAAATTTAATATTGTATTTATCTATTTAAATAAGAAAAAAAATGATGCATTAACAGTATAATTTTTTTTATATTGTCAAAAAATAACAACCACGCATTTCGTCATATTGAAAATTTTAAACTAATTATATAACATGAGGATAATATATTTTTATTGGATGACACTGTAAAATATTTTTAATAAAATATATTTGTAAAAAAAATCTTAACTTTGGACATTTTTTTTTCGTAAAATATAAAAAAAGAGTAATATGAATGCGATGTAGACTAAACCCTATATGTTTTTATTATTCAACTTCACCTATATTCACTCTTAATTAAGTGTACCTGTTTAAAATTATTATTATTATTATTATTATTATTATTATTATTATTATTATTATTATTATTATTATTATTATTATTATTATTTACATACTTAGTATTATTATTTGATTTAAGATATATTTTAAATATAACAACAATTATTTTATGAAATTAATTTCTTACATTTTTTTTTATAAAATTTGTATTTTTATATATAACACTATAGATGCAATACTCAAATTTAATAGACTTATTAGTTACATATTTAGAATTAATAACGGTTAACATCAAATAGGTTAATAAAAAAACCACTTTATTGATTAAAGTTATAACTTTTCTCAATTAATTTCCAACAAGAAGAAAAAAAAAGAAACTTTGTTGATTAATAGTCCAAAAAACTTTTGGATCTAGAGGTTTGGATGTATATGTGCCACTATAGCATAGAGAAGATAGAAGATCCTCGTCCACAAGAGCACAAATATTCCCACAAATGAAAAATGACATCCTTCAATTCCTAGACACACTTTTTCCTTTTTCTTTTAGAGTGGGGTGAATGGAGACCTCTTTATCTCAGCCATGATAGAAACCAGAATCTCTCTTATTACATACACTCCTAATATCTCTCTTCTTTTGTATTCCTCAAGCTTTCTCTTACGCGTCATTTTCCATGGATCCTTAATCGTTAAGTATATTGAAATTTATTCCCCACACCACACACACACTTTTATATTTATATAATAAATTACAATTTTTTTATTAAATAATAGGGATTATATATTTTTTACAATCAACAAAAAAATCTATGATAAAATCGTAAAGTTAACTCGGTGTCTTAAAAATAAATTTATTAAATCATTAATCATTAATGAAATCAATTTTAATTCATTTCATTTTGTTAGAGATACTATTTTTACGAATGAAAATAGTAATATTCTCTTTAAATATAAAACCAGGTGTAAAATGTTTAAACAAGCGACACTTTGTTTTTGAGGAAAAGAAGTGTCGTTTTTAAAATTAGAAGAATATGTAAAAGATAGATTTCAGTACCACAAAACACATATACGTTATTTTTGAGGTTCAGACAAACAAGAATCGAACGATGGAATAATCATTCATTACATCAAGTGTTCTTTTGACCAGCCTTTCAATTAATTGAACTTGCAAGATTGAGATGAAACCAAATGGTAGTGATATATAAGTTAATTTAGAAAGGAGACATTCATGGTCAATATTTTGCTACTTTTGCATTATAAATTTAAATTAGTTGTGATTTCTGTTCCACAAAATATGACTAATGTGATTGAAATTTATTTTAAATTTGTTTTGAATAATTACTATATTTAGTTTATTAAATAGTCAAAATATATTAGTTATTAAATGAATTTGTTTTGGGTCGTCTGCAAGATCTATGACAAAATGTCCAAAAGACTACGAAAAAGGTTGACTTTCACTATGATCATAAGCAGATAAATATGCACCCCAATACATCAATCTCCTTCTTAGATATATCTATTATAAATTTCATCGAGCATGGTGACATACAAAGTTGTTGGAGTTGCCGCTGAAGCTGCCAAACCCCCACCCCGTCTTCCCCTATTTTAGTGGAAGGCGGTCTAGTTTTGGTGGCATCTTCATCTGGCCCTACAAAACAATATCATGTTCCTCCAAAAGCTGGTCAAAGAGCATTCCAATATCTCTCATTCATTGGACCTATACAACAACCTTGTCAAGGAGAACCATCATATCAACCTCATGCACAACATGTTATACCCGGACAAAAATGCATTTAAAACTTCAGCTGCTACAAGTAAATCTTGGAGTCCAGGGAGCCACAAACTTGTTGAATGCCATCTATAACTTGGTACATTAGCAAAATTCACAATTATTGGCATATAGGATACTTATAATCAAGAAGAACCTGCAACATGCTCCACCGAGGAATAACTTTGTGTGGGAGGAGGCCTCCTGGGGCAATCAAGCTACGATATGAAAGTCAGTCCCCATTGGTACAACTATGCCACATGGTGAGGCCCTAAGATCACTAACTCTCAACTAGAGTCGAGGAAATATGATTTTTCCATTGGAATATGAAGGAAAGATTGGTATTCATATCCCTCCTAAAGTTTTCTAACCTTATCGTTTATTAGTACACCATTCCTGGTGAAGGGAAAGAGATGTCACATATGCTCTAACTCTGGACCAAAAGAAGAACATGTTGTATGTCCACGTCCTCGACAACAAAAACTAGAGGTCTTTAGATAAATCTTCAAAGCTACAAAGTTGGAGATCCATATGAACTTATTGACAATGTAGATAACATACTAGATTACTATCACTCTCAATGAGTATTGAAGTGAAAGATCATCGCAATGTCCCTTACGTGAGCCGAAATGATGTGGTTTAAGACCCTTCCAAATGAGAGTGTAGATTAGTGGAAGAATTTGTACGACTCATTCACCGCTCGAAAGCGGAAACCCACATCCTTGGCCGTATTCAGTGAGGTCACACAAAAAACGAAGGAAAGCTTGTGCGAGTACATATTTTAATTCATGAAAATGGTAATGGTAGTAGGAGGCATGAATGGCAGATTAAAATGTTAGACATTCAAGAAGAGGTGGAGGTCGGATTACATGTGTTAAGGAAAAGTTAGGGCTCAAAGAAGTCTATAATTTAATTGATTTATTGAATATGGAAAAATACTATATCATTTATAAATAATAACTCCTGACAGAAGAGCGGAAATGGGTCGGGGAGTAAGTAACTTTAGGTACGTCCGAGAACCAAAAAGAGACAACGGCTGCTACAGAGAGGACGAGGGAAAGCGGGCCCTGATCCAAGTTTTTTGCCAACACTCATTTGAATCCTTCGCGGGGGAAAATTTGCGAGAGTTTGCTACTACCAATTTTAAGGAAGTCGGAATCAAGAACCCTCTACTCAACAAGGAAATTGTCCATGATGGATAAATCCAAATATTTTTATTTTCACAAAAGTCATGACCACAACACCAATGAGTGCATCCTTCAAAAGGATGTGATAGAAGAGTTGATTAAGAAGGAGTGAGTTATCAAATATACTCAGGAAGGTGATTGAAAAGGTGGTCGAGAGAAGAAGATAATGTAGGGGGCGATAAGAATCTCCAAGAAAGAAACGATCCCCTCACCAAGAGAAATCATCCCCTAAGAAAGCTATTGAGGTTGTAATTCGAGCCAGGGAAAAATACAATAGCAACAGAGAAGAAGAAAACCTGAAAGGAAAACACCAGTATATCACATCCATTACTGGTGGTCTTCCAAGAGAAAATAATCCCTCCAAGGAAACCATAAAGAAAAGAATCGTTGAGCTAATGGTTGTAAACAAAGAAGAAGGAACGACTTCGAACGAAGAGCCAAAAAGACATATCCTCAAATTTAAGGATACTGAAAAATTAGGCAGGATCCCGAGCAATCAAAAGTAGGACAAAGAAAAGGCAATGGAAATTTAAGTATTTTGAAAAACTTGAAAATTTAAGATTTTTTGTGTGTGATTTGAATCACTCATAATCCATGACCTGAATCAAGCAAAACAGAGGAAAAACATGAAATTTTGGTGTCTGTGATTTGAATCACAAATTACATCTAATTCGAATCATTCAACTGTGTGATTCAAAGCACAATTTGTGCATGAATCAAATCATAAACTTCCTGGTAGCCTATGACTTGTTTCATTCAAATCATACTTAACACATTATTCAGATCATTAACTTGTGTGACTTGAATCACATTCAAATCACAGGAATTTAGGTCACTTTCTTTATGAGATCTAATTTCACACTACTTGCTCATTTGATTCAAATAATGAAATTCACTATACTCAAATCTAACAAACTTTTTCCAACCATTTTTATGCTTAATCTCAAGTACATATAAAATCACTTTGTCATCGCTTTTCGTAAAATGAATCTCATAATCAACATTGTAATTTTCTGTGAAACAAACACCCTCCCACTTTTGAAATTTCAAAAAATCTTGCAATCAAATTTCTTTCATCTTCAACTTTACTTTGATTTTAGATCTTTATCATGAGAGATTTGTAATTGATTGAAGGAGGCACCATCTTGAAACTAATTGTTCTTGAAGATTTGGTTGAGATGTTCAGG